ATCTGTGTCCTCTCTAGATTTATTAATCATGTCTTGCACTATGAGCACAATCTTTGCTGTTATCTGAGTAATTATTTCTTATTTCATTTTTCCCAGATCCATTTTGTTGCCAGTTCAGAGAGTCTAGGTGGTTGAGTATCAGATTGTTCCATTTCGTTTCCCTTTGGGGTTGCTGTAGGTGATCCGGAAGTCTGTTTTTGAGACTTGTTTATGTGTCTTCTTATTTCCACGGTGGGGAGGGGTGCTTCTGGTGCCCGCACAGCTCACCTTCTCTGCCCTAGGAGCGTGGGATGGCTGCGGGGGAGCTTCCTTCTGGGTGCTGGGGCTGGCTCAGCTTCTCTGCCCTAGGAGTGTGGGATGGCCTGGTGGCCCCTGTCTTGCATCCCTTTCATCTTTGCTTCTGTAGTCACATGTCCCTCTACTGCCTTTACTTTCTCACCTCCCTCTTGTAAGGACCTTGAGATTACATTGGTCCCCTGGGTAATTCAGGGTTATATTTGCATTTTAAGATTCTTAACTTGATCATATCATCAAAATCCCTTTTTCCATGAAAGGCAGCATAGTCACAAGTTCTGGGGATTAGGACATGGATGCCATTGGTGGGGTCCTTATTCTGCCCACCCCAGTGTTCTTCCAGCCCTCTTCCCCAGTCCTGGACACTTTTGAAGCCACCTATTCCAGTGTGCAGCCAAGATTGGAGAAGCTTGCTGAACCACCTTGGGCTTTTCATGAGCCCAAAATAAATCTTTATTGTGTTAATCCAGTAAGACACAAGGATTAATATGTTACTGCAGTGTAGCTTTCTCTATACCCATGGTGGTGAATCTGTGGCACACATGTTGTTTTTCTTTTATGACAGGCGATATTAATGTATGAACTCATACTTTTCTAAAATAAAACCTCAGTATTCAGGCTTAATTGTAGTGTTGGCACTTTTTGATAAATAAGTGGGTTTTAGGTGGCAGTTTGGACACTCAATCTCTAAAAGGTTCACCATCACTGCCCTCCACAGATGAATGGAATCTTCCAGTTGTCTCTTTGTGTTTCTCACGTGTTCGGCACAGCTGGGAGACGCCAACCCCATCCCTCCCAAGGGCTCTGTGTCCTTCCTTCTGACATGACAGCTGGATGGCATATGGAATCTTCTAGTGGTTGAGTGAAATGTTCTGGGAAACCTGTACCACTGATTTATGTGTTGCCTTGACTGATGTTGGCTGTGGCCAAGTGACGTGCTTGGTTAAAGAACTGTTCCTGGACATGACACAGGCAAAATTTAAATGGCTTGCATACTTTGGGTTTCTTCTCAAGCTTTGATGCTCCACCATGCTATTGTTTGGATACTGAATTTCCCCAAAGGCCCATGTGTTAATGTCTGGCTTTACTGGAAGGTGGTGGAACCTTTTAAGAGGTGGGCCCTAGTAGGAGGTACTTAGTATATGTGCTGCCGAACCGAGCACAAGTAGGAGGTACTTAGGTCATTGGGGGTGTGGCCTTAATGGGGATTGTGGGACCCAAATTTTTCTTCCTCTTTATTTGCTCCCCAACTTGTGATGTAAGTGGTTTTTCCTCATCAGAGGCCCAAAAGCTATGAGGCCACTCCCATGGAACCTTCAGAACCATGAGCTCAAATAAAACTTTTCTCTTTATAAGTTAATTATCTTGGGTATTTTGTTATAGTGATGAAAAGCTGACTAATACACATCATAAAGGGATCATATATCAGATAGCCACTGACCCTTTAGCCTAGGATAAAAACAAACACCCATGGAACACCCATGAAACAAACACCCATGGAACACCCATGGAACAAACCAACCCATAGAGGTTAGCTGAGCTACTTCAACCTAAATGTAACTACCAACACTGGTTGCCTGCTGGTGAGATTTGGGCTGCTTTGTTATACAGCATTACTGTGGCAATAGCTGACTATTACACTTATCCCTGAAGGATTTGGGGGTTCCCAAAAGCCTCTGACCATTTCCCACCCCTTGCTGTTAGGATGTGAGTGAGACACAAGCCACACATCTGCCCTTCCTCAGGGAGTCCCAGGCCCTCTGTCTTCTTTGTTACCCCGTCAGTGGCCCAGGATGCCAGCAGGTACACCCACTGGCTGCTACAGAACAAAGGAAGAACACAGAGCCATGCATCGCGGTGGGGAAAATTGGTCTGTTTGTTTTAATTAAATGGACTGAAGAAGCCAAGACACAGACAGAAAGAGACTAAGAACAAGACTGGAAATTGTTTAGAAAAGAAATGAAAACCAGTCGCAGAGATGTCAGTGCCAGAGGAGTGCTGGGAGCAGGTGGCGCCTTCACGTCAGCTCCAGAACCACTGTCAGGGCAAGCACCAGGGGGAGCCGGACGCCAGCGGGGCCAGATGCAGAGCCTGTGTGGGTGGTGGGGGCAGTGTCAGGGGACGCTGGGTGGGCGGCCTGGGAGCAGCAGGCTTCATATCGGGATGAGTGGGGCTCAGACCCCAATTCTGCCACCTGCCCCTCAACTGTCAGCGACAGCGTCCCCACCCAGGCCTGGCTTCCTAGCGGCCATCACGATTTGCAATGGGGGCCAGGGGCAGGGGTATCCCCTGTGAACCATGCAACTGGCTCAGTGTGTATGGGGGCCGGGGAGCAGCATCTGCATCCCTTGGGGTCGTGATCAGTTGGGGGCAGCCCAGAGACATAAAGGTCCCCAGTGGGGCATCTGTATGTGTTCCCAGCTGTCCAGGGGAGTAGTCCAGGGACCCAGAGCAGAACCCCATGGTCAGAGCTGGACATGCCCTCCTGAGGCCAAGGCTGCTGGCTGCACAGAGTTGAGAGGCTCCAGACGCTGATGGTGGGAGGGACATACTTGGCTCTTGAAATCTCAGCCAGTTGCTTTGGGGTGCTTGTTCCCCTTTTACTGCCTCAGTCTCCCTCTCTGACCAAACTGGCTTCTGATTCTGTCTGAGGGTGGGGGAGGGGGAGGGCATGCAAGTGGGCAGTTTGGGGGTCAGGAGCCTCCTAGTGCCCCAAACATCTCTCACTCTCGAGCAAGAAGTCCTGAGGCGCAGACTCACCATTGGAGTCCTCTGTTCCTCTTGGAATATTTGGATTTTCTGCAGGGAAGAAACAGAACAGAAGGATGTAAGGCAGGACTCCAGAAAGGACGGCCCTTTATCCCGCTCCTAGCTGCAGCCTTGAGCACAGCACAGTGCAGCTGCCAAGCTCCCCAGGGTGGAGCTGTCAGCCCTCGTGAAGATGGGTAAACTGAGGAGGTGCCACAGGTGGCAGAGCTGGGATTTGAACCCAGGTCTTTCTGACTCCAAATTCATTATAGATTTAACCACAGAACCACACTGCATCTTTGTGGAACAAACTCAGATGACCTGAGCTCTTGCTTCTCCCCCCCCAGCACCCATGCCCTGGGTCCCTGCTGGTCCCCCACTGAGCGTGGCATACCAAACACGATGAGCCGGGTGTGCGTGTCGGTGGATCCCAGCGGGTTCTGGGCTGTGCAGCGGTACATGGAGCCATTGAGCTCGGCAGGGACCCGCTCCAGCACCAGTTCCTTCCCATCGAACTCACTGCTGCCGTCCAGGAGGCGGCTCCCTACCCGTGTCCATGTGAACACGGGCTCTGGGAAGACCTCATTCTGCTGGCCAAAGGAGGAGAGGAGGGTCATGGGGGTCATTTTGCCAGGGTAGGAGGGTGTCAGAGCCAGGGCGGCCAGGGCAGACCAAATGTTCACATTGGGTAGGTTGGGAGTGGCTGCTCCATCCCCAGGAGGACAGGGACTTTAGGGCTGAAAAGAACATGAAAAGCCCAGCATGGTGGTGCATGCCAGTAATCTCAGTACTCTGGGAGGCTGAGACAGGAAGGAAGATTACAAGTTCCAGCCTAGCCTGGGAAACTTAGTGATTTGGGGAGACCTTGTCTCAAAATTAAATAAATAAAAATAAAAAGAGGTCTGGGGATGTAGCTCAGTGTGAAGGTCCTGAGTTCAATCCCCAGCCCCGGTTGTTGAGGGAGAACATGAAGAATGGGAGTGCTGTGCTTGCTCTGACCTCTGGGTGGGGAGTGAGACACACATGTGCCTTGTCCTATCTCGTGGCAGCCAATCATGCCATTGCTCAGGGTGGGAGACTGAGGGCCACTGGCAGCAGCTGGAGGGCAAGGGAAGGGCTCAGGGGACCATTCCTAGGGTGCTGGTGCCCCATGGGTGTCTCCACTGCCTGCTGGCCCTCCCGGATGCTCAGACAGAGGCTGACCTGAAATCCATGGACCAGGATCCTCACTGTGTCCCCGACCCGGGCTCTGCTGGGTGTCATCACGATTTTGGGGCCTCTCGGGGCAACTGTAGGGAGAGGGACTTTGGGTCAGAGAGGGGTGGGGCCAGCGAGGAAGGGGAGGGATACAGAAAAGGAAGTTCTGTCCAGTGGTCCTTCATCTTCCTAGGGATTAGCTGCTTCTCAGTGGCGAGCTCTGCATTTGCTGTTTCATTCACACATTTCCCAGTCCCTGCAGTGTTGGACCCTGGCTGGGACCTGGGGATTCACTGTATGGTCCTTGCCTTTGTGGGGTTCATACATCAGTGGGGGAGAAAGACAGGGGAGGCAAACTTGCCTGGGGGGGGGTGGTACCTAAGGGACAAGTTGGCCACTAATGGGGAGCAGGACGGGAAGGGAGCCTGATCCAGCAGCCAAGACCCCACCGGCACAAAACCTCTGTGACGCGAGTTCTGCTGTCATTGTCTCTTTGTCCAGGTGACTTAACTGAGGTCCTGAGAGTCACAAAATGACTTGCCAAGTGACAGGAAGAAAAGGGACTAAAATTCAGGTCTCCTGACTCATGATCCCAGGTTCCCAGTGGGAGGAGATGTGTCACATTATAGGCTGGCCTTTGTCCTTATGTCCTCAAGGTGCCTAGGGCTGTTGCTCTCCTGTGAGTAGGAACTGTGGATTCCAGGGACAGAGCAGCCTCTGAGATCCCTGGGTCTGTCCCCTCATGTTTAATTGGGAAAGAATCCCATAGGTAACTGAGAAGATTGTCCAAGGTCACACACAGAGTCGATTACTCGTGATTTCTGACTTTCATCTCCAAGATTCATTCACTCATCCACCCATTCCTTCATTCATTCACATATTCAACAGAAATTATTGAGCTAGCCAATCATGCATCAGGATTTGGAACTGGGCTGGGGACACAGTGGCTAAAGACCAAGTGCCTGCCGATCCGGAGCTTATACTTAGAGGGGAGACATTCAATCAGCAACTAATGTGTGGCCAAGATGTAAGCAGAGCGACAGCACTGAGTGCAGTTTGGAGTGGTCGGGAGGCAGTGGGTGCTGTCTTTAGATGCAGTGCTCAGAGTGTCTTTTGCAATAGATGGCATGGAAGTTGACAAGGGAGGAACATTCTGCTGCTGAAGAATGTTCCAGGCTGAGAGACAACCAGGGCATGGCCCTGCACTGAGAGTGACAGGGCAGAAGTGGTAGAGCAGGGGACATATCCTTAGAGCTCCAGAGCTAGCACACTCTGTGCTACTCTGCCAATATCCTCTAGGGTGGCACTGGGAGGACAGCTTTTTCCGGCCTCGGGGCTGGCCTGGGATGACCCAGCTGCCCTTGGGCCCCCTGAGCCTCTCCCTGTGTCAGCCTTCAGCAGAAGCCAGAGCAGTGGAAGATGGGGGTGGTCTCACCGGCACTGCTGATTTCACTCTCTGAGAATGAGACCAAAGGACTATTAATTAACCACGAACAAGACATCTGAAGTGTCATATGGCCCAGGCTGGGGGAAGAGCGGCCTGAAGAGGGGAGAAGGAAGGGCTTGGGAAGGGGGACTTCCGCTGCAGTGCTGGACTGGGAGCCCTGGATTCGGCTTGGCCTTCGTGCCTTTGGGGCAATTGTCCCACCTTGCTTCAATAGGCCAGCTCCCGGTCACCAACCCACACCCTGGATGGCTAACATTGGTCCAGCACATTGTAAGCACCAGGCCCTTAATTCAGTGCCTTCTGCATTATTTCAACTCACCTTGCAGCTTTTTCAGATTGTCCCATAAGGAAACTCAGGCCCCTTGCCCGATGTCTCTATTCACTCTCAAAGGCTTCAAGGCCCTTGAGCAGCCTTGGCCCTGGGTTATTTTGTCAAAGTGGGGCTGGGCTGGCAGGTTGGCTGTCGCCAGCAGAGGGCGCTGAGGGGTTTCATATCAGGACAGGGGCCTTTTCCCTCCTGGGTCAGAGTCCCCAATGCCTTGCTCTCTGAAGGCCCTGCTCAGCCCCTCTGACCTGCTGGTTCCCAATGGGAGAGGCAAGTGACATTTCTCAGGTGCCAAACATGTGCTAGTCTCCACAGGACTCACCATCCTGGTGCTTATGAAGTAGGCTGCTGAGAAACCCATTGGACAGGCAGACAGTGGCTTGCCCAAGTTCACAGTGTGAGCAGTGGTCTTGCCAGCTCAGATGCTGCAGGGGGAGGTGAGGAGCCCTCATCAGGAGAGGTGGAGCTGGTGGCCTCTCCCACCCTGGCAGTCTCCCTGCTGTCCTGGGTGGCCTGTCCTGGTGGCTGCTTCCAGAGCTGACCCTGAGGGGCACGGAGAAGGGGTGGGGGGGTCTGTTCTGCCCTCAGCTCTCCAGGCTCCCTCTTGGCAGCTGCCAGAAGATGAGTGCGCTTGCGGCAGAAGGTGCCAGCCTCTCTCATTGCTGCTGTGTGATGCTGCTTCTGGAGGCCAGGCCTGCGGCTGTCACCCCCTGCTCCCACCACCACCAGGAAGCCCATTAGCAGCTCCCGCCAGCCAAAGCCTGCCCCGCTGCCCGCTCCCAGAATGCAAGCTGAGAGCACTGCTGGACACATTTCCAGCCTCTCTGTGTTCATTCTGCTCAATCCCTGCACATCCAGAAAGAGCAGGAGACCAGAGACCCAGGAGTGAGGCCCAGCCCTCTCCTCTCAGGCTTATGTCTTAGATGAGTCAATTCAACCTGTATTCTCTCCTCTGTGTGGGAAGAGTAGGCCACCACCCTGCCTGGAAAGGAGAATGGGGGAGAGAGATGAGGCCGGACTGTGAAATGTAAAGAAGTGGGATCTGAGCTGGCCATGGCGGCCCATGCCTATGATCTCAGCACTCAGGAGGCTGAGGCAAGAGTGTCGCCATGAGTTCAAGGCCAGCCTGGGCTACCTAGTGGGTTCAAGGCCATCTTGAACTACATAGCGAGATCCTGTCTCAACTCTCCCCCCAAAGTGGGACCTATCTCCTCGGGGGAATGCAAAAAAGCCTGATTATATAAGCCCCCCTCCTCACACCCTACCCCCAACATCCTGTTGTCTGTAAGGACAGAACAGCACTGTGAAACCTTAAGGAAAAGTTCCTCTAGGTTTCCCCCAGGGATTCTGGGTATTGTTTATGACAGGCACACCTCCATCCATACTCCATCCATCATGCCATCGTATCATCCATCCATCATTATGTTATATCATCCACCCATCATATTATCCATCCATCCATCCATCCATACACCTACCCACAAAGTTACAAGTCTCCTCACCTGCCCATTCACTCATCTACTTTATTGATCTTATTTTTTATTAAACTGATAAGAACAGATACTACATTTGATCTTAGCCAAAAGGCCGGGAAGCGATGATCTTACTCTTTATTGTACACCTAATTTGTGTTGGCCACTATGCAGGGCTGTGCTGAGGACATAATGATGAATAGTAATAGTAGCTTATATTTATTGAATACTAATTCTGTTTGTCACAAGGCACATTAAAGACCCTGCCCATCGGCAACTTAAATTCTGGTAGGTGATCCAGACAATAAGGGAATGAAGACTATATTATACAGAAAACAAAGTGAGGTAAGGGGTGGCAGAGGTCAGGAGAAGAGGTGGTGTTAGGTAGTGTTCAAAGATGAACCATCTGAGTAGATTTCAGCAGAGGTCTGAATGGAGGAATTGAGTGTTCAAGTAGGATTATTTTAGGCAGAAGGGAAAGCCATTGCAAAGTCTCAGGGGTGGGCTGAGCTTGACATATCCAGGCAAGAGTAAAGACGACCTTGGGCTGGAGTAGATGGACTAGTAGGGAGATTTATAGCCAGGACTGGGTCAGATGAGATGAAGTTCATTTGTTGGAAATGATGAAAAGTATTTCATTATGTAAATATACACAAATTTGTTTTTCTGTTTTCCTAACTATGGACACCTGAGTCATTTCGTTTTGGTTTTTGCTGTTGTCATGAATAAATCTGCTCTCAATACACATCTCAATCTTTGTGGACATATTTTTCTTTTCTCTTGGATAAACACTTAGGAGTGGAGTTGGTGGTCATGGAGTAGGCGTTTCTGTCTTTGAACAAAAATGCCAAGTAGTAGTACTATTTTATACTCCCACCACAATGCTGAAGGGTGCTGATTATTCCATATCTTTGTCAACATTTAATGTTGTCAGCTTTCAAAATTTTAGCCAGTGGGGCTGGGAATGTGGCTCAGAGCCACAGTAGGTGTATACACAAGGCCCTGGGTTCCATCCTCAGCATTATAAAAAATGCTAATAAAAAACACTTGGCCAGTTAATGGTTGTGAAATGGTATCTCATTGAGGTTTCAATAGTCATTATGCTATAATACATAATATGAACACTTTTTAATACGTCTTTGGCCATTTGCAATCCTTTATTTAAAAAGTGGATATCTCTCTACAGATATATGGTAGTTCTTTATATATCTTGGGTACAAACGCTTTGTCAGATATATGTATTGAGAATATTATATCTCATTCTATAGTTTGCCTTTTCATTTTCTTAACAAAAGATGGCTTATTATGAGCAGAAGATTTGAATTTTGATTCAGTCAAATTGACCAATTTTCAATTTTTCATTTAATGTTTTTTTTGTGATCACTTTAAGAAATCCTTGCTACCCTCAAGGTCAAAAAGTTGTTTTTCTACATTTTGCTCTGGAAGATCTGTGGTGCTGGTTTTACACTTAAGTCTATCATTCATTTCAAATTAGCCTGCGTGTGCGCAAGGTAGGGGCCCAGGTCCAGTTTTCCCCGTCCGCGTTTGGTTGTTCAGGACCATTTGTTAAAGAGACTCTTCTTTGCTCACTGAATAGCCCTGGGGTCTTTGTCAAAAATCAATTGACTCTATACTTGTGGGTCTATTTCTGGGCTCTGTTCTGCTCTATCAATCTGTTTGTCTCCATTGGCAGGTTTGGGGCTGGAGTGCGTGTGAGTCATGGTCCGATCTCTGTCTAAGTAGATCAGTCGGGGTGGAGCATAGGACAAAGCAGGGGTGGGAGCAGAAAGCCAGTCTGGAGGGCACTGCAACGAGCCAGGCCTGAGCGCCTGGTGCCTGGATGGCTGGGCATGGGGCACCTGCTGAATGGCAGGCAAAGGTCACTGCAGGGAGATCAGCACCGACTCTCAGGGGCTTAAGTTCAATGTCCCTGCCAGATGCTTGGCTTCTGCGCCCCCAGATCATGGTATCTGCCCCACATCTCACCCACAACGCAGGTGCCCTGGCTGTGCAAGGTGCGGCACACACAGGCCCAGCCACCTCCACTGGCTCGCTGACTCCTCACCCGGGTGGGCTGCCATGCACAGTGGTGAGGAGGGGGGCACTGGGCCAACAGCCCTGGCTCCTGACCTAAGGACAATCACTCTACGCCTGTGCCCCTCTCATCTACAGGATGGGGACAGTGTGGCCTCTCTCAGCGGCCACCCAGGGTCACTGCCCTGTTTCCAGGAGAGCTGGTGAGGAAGGCATCTGGCTCCCAGCCTGGGCTTAAAATATTTGTGCAGTGCAGTGCCTAATATTCTCCCCATTCCACAGGTCAGAAAACTGAGGACCAGGGACAACAGGGCCTGGACTTCACCAAGGGATGGCAGGAGAGACATTCTGAAGGAAGCCAGTGCTCCTCAGGGAGGCAGGGGTGGCCTTCATGCCAAAGCAGCTATGGAAAGTGGGAGGCTGCTCTGCTGGGAGGAAGGGACTCGGAGGAGGATGGAAGTGAAGGGTGGGCAAGGACGGAGGGCCGACTGAGGGTCCGCAGGGTGCTTGTGATGCCTCTGTGGAACAGCATGGGCACGTGGTGCCCAGGGGTGGCAGCCGAGAGGGACGGGTGCCCAGAACAGGCCTAAGGGACATTAATAGGAGATACTGCCTGCCTTTGGGTCCTGCCCCATTCCCCTTGGGCAGCTTCTCTAACCTCCCGGGGCCTCAGTTTCCTTATTGTGCAATTGGATAGCAACAGAGCCTGCCTCACTGTGTTATCACGAGCATCTAATAAGTTAGTATAAGAAAAACAACAGTTTGCTATAGAGTAGGCATTCAATAAATATTACCCCTTATTGCTTTCTGTGTGGGCAGGTGGCTTGTGACAATCAAAGGGTCTTTTCAATTTGAAGGAGATGGTCTTGTACATGTTCCTGGCACACGGTAGGTACAATACGTACATGAATGCTTTCCCATAGTGTTGAGGAACTGGTGGGGGTTTCAGTAGCTAGCAAAAATCAGAAAAGCTTCTGGATCCCTTGATGCAGCTGCATTCCTGAACCTTTTGGCTACCGTTTTCTGACCTTGGTCATGAGGGACCTGAGACTGTGGATCCCTGACTTCTGTTGGACACTCAGAGGACAGCCATGGCCTCCTGGGCCCAAGGAAGAGCTGCCATGCGCTGCTGATCACAGTAGTTCAGAGGGACACAGGTAGAAGGCCCAGCACCTACTCCCTGCTCTGCTGTATCCCCTCCCCCGCTCTGACTCAGCTGGGTGCTCCCAGGAAAGGAAAGCAGGTTGCAGACAGAGATTGGGCTCTGGGGCCAAGCTGGCCCTGGGCATCCAGTTTCCTGTTTGCGTCTACCTCCCACATACCCACAGGTTGTCAGTGTGCTTTAAAGTGCAGGTTGTGTTGAAAACCTCCCATGTCCCCAGCTTGGTGAAGCTTCCGGTAACCTAGCTATGACCTTCTTTCCTTGACCCATCAGCTTCCTCTGACCTCTTATGTTCTTACCCTATCTCCCCAGCAAACCGAGCTCTGATGTTGCTGGCCTCATCTGGCCAATTCTTCCGGGCCCAGAAACCTGTAATTTTCCCTGATCCAATCACAGACCTCCTTAAGAGACCCAACTCTATCCTCTGGGCTGACCTGATTCCTGCCATTCCTCCCCACCTCCCTGACTTCTGCTGTCCCAGTGAGCCCATTCCAAGGGCCCCCACCGTCCACCTCTGGCCCCAACCAAGTCTTACCCAGTGTGACCTCTGCCTGCATGGGCATTGACAGCGCGGGGTGCTTGACCTCACAGCTGAACAGGGCCTCATTGTCAATTTGCGGGTTGAGGGTCCAGGTGAGCAGGGCGCGCACTTCCACGGTGCCATCACTGCCCGGAGTGCGGCTGTGGCGCAAGAAGTAGATGGGCTCCGCGCTGTGGACCCAGCGGGGGAACTCGCGGCTCACGACTGTCTCTGGGACGTTCTCTGTGGTGGGCTGGAGGAGGAAGCTGGGGTCCGGGGTCAGGCTGTGGGAGGGGTGCTCCGTGTAGGGACGCCCACCCCGGTTCTCCGCATCCAGGAGGGACAGTGACTTTTGCATCTTGGTGTCATCCAGATCACGGTGCAGGAGGCTTCGAAAGGGCCTGCTGTCCTGGAGGGGACCAGCGCTCGCAGCTGGTGGCTCTGATAGGGGCACTGTGTCGATTGGCTCCCCATCACGTTTGAAATAAACCTGAAATTGCAAGAAGAATGTGGGGAAAGATTCTGTATGAATGACCTTGGCCTCCCAATGGGCTCTACATGAACTGCCCGAGGAGCCAGCTCTTCCAAACCCTTCTTCTCCTGTGGTCATCTAGTGACCCCACGGCCCACTCCTTTTATGTCAAGCTCCCAAGAACTGGGAGCCAGCACGGCACAGTGGGAATGTGCCCAGGCTTTCTGAGCCTCAGTTCCCTCACTTGTAAAGAGGAATAAGAGCAACTGCATCCTGGGCTGTTGGATGCTTGAATGAAAGCATGTGAGGAAATGGAGGTGTTGGACACAGGGCCTAGGGGGTGATCCACGTCCACCTCAGGGGCATGTGGAGGAGAGGGGAATGGATCTGGCCTCGGGATTAAGCACAATGTTGGAAGAGGAAGAAGAAAGAAAGGATCTGTGTGTGTGGGCAGAAAGCAGGTGCGTGCGTGGGAGGGAGCTAGGTGCGGGCATCAGGCATCTTCTCCCTTTCTCTGCTAATGGGGAATTCAAGTTTTGAGAGGCAGCATTTAATTTAATTTGCTGTCTTTTTATTTTGGTACATGTACCCAGAGGCCTGCAGGGATTGGGTGTATTTTTTAATAAATCAGATAAATAAATCGATAAGAGACAGGAAGAAAGGAGCACAGGAAGCAGCTCTCAGGGACGTAGATGGCAGGGAGGAAGATGCGGGGCGGCGGGGGGGGCTCAAGGGGGGGCGTGAATGAAATGTGGACTTAGAGAATCTGCCAGAGTTTATAACTCCAAAGAAGAATCTCTTATGGGCATAATATCCTGCTCTGGGTGGGTTTTTTTTTTTTCCCTTTCTTTGCTTTTTTTTTGAAAAGTGCTTCAAAAGCAGGTTTGTAATTTATATCAAAGAATTTCTTTCAAGTTCTGACGTCCCAGATGAACGTAAGAGGCCTGGAATGTGGGGAGATGAAGATCTTTCATATTATATCTGGGGAAAGAGAGAGAGAAAACTAGGCCCCTGCATATTTTATTGCCACCTCTTAAATGGCAGCCAGGTAATCTGTGAGAACCCTTTCTTCATGCCTTCTAGGAAAGGGATTTTGCCTTGGGGGAAAAGACCAGCTCTCCTGATTTTAGGGTGATTGCAACTCTTTATGGGCTCCAAAGAGGAAAATCTAGGGCCATGTTTTGCTTTCAGAATTTGGTGGCGTTGAAGTTACCTTTATTCGTGTTTCCTTGAGAGAACAGTTGACCCCTGCCCTCTGCCCCCAACTCCCTGCACTGCTCTGGGCCTTTTACACCTCATTACTTCCTTGTCCCGGGCAGCTGGGCATATCTGGAGCAGACAGGGATATCTGGAATGAGGGGAACCCTTCGCCTCCCCATCTTGAATTCCGTGTATTCATTGCTCTAGTTCCAGCCTTTACTAAATCCTAGTGACACATGGAGCTCATAGAGTCAAGAGCCAAGGGGTTATACAGTATTGGGGCTGAAAGGCTCCTTGGGAGTATGTACATCAGAGGTTCTCAGTGTTGGTTCCATGGAAGCCTAAGTGTTCCACAGAGGTGATTCAGAGGTCCACATAGATGACTTGTCCTCCCTTTACTTTTAAATGTAGGCATGGGGACCAAAAGGATCCTGCTGCTTCTAAAACAGCTGCAAAGCTTTTTTATTGTCTAGCCCCTTACAGACACTGAGAAGCAGAGATAGGGGAAGGCAGATAATTCTGTGGGAATGTTGGGGCCAGGACTAGAACCTGGCACCCTGGATGCTTAGGTAGGGCTCCACACCCTACCCAGCCTGTTCACGTGGCACCAAAACACCCTGTGAACCAGACCCACAGACCCCAAAGAGGCCAGTGTGGGTCTGATGGGGAAGAAGGCATCTCCCCTCCCTTGTTCCCTGCCCTACTGCTGCCCTCCCTTCCTCTGTCCTCTCTTCCTCTTCTTTCTGACTTCTACTCTTTCTCTCTTTCTTTCTGGTGGGCTTCCTGTGAGCCAGTGGGTCCTGGGAAGAGCAGTGAACTTGGAGCTTAAGAACATGAACTTGAGTCCCAGCTCTGTCAAGAGTATCAAAGGGGTTCTGGACAAGTCCCTTCCCTCTCCTAACTACCTTCATTTGTCTCCACGCTGCTCAATCACTGGGGTGGGGCATGCTGGATGCTGGGTCCCGGAAGACCACTCCAGCTGAGCAGTTCTGGGGTTCTGGGTGCAGGAGAAGTGGGTCAGGTGAGTGAGCCTCAGATGCCTGCAGGTGTGGCAGAGTCAAGGTCAGCTGGCCACACCCTCCAAGGGTACAGAGCGGGCAGCTGCAGCTGGACAAACCAGGCCACAGGATGGCTGGCAGATGAGGAGGGTTGGGTGGTCACGGGCACTCACCATGGGCGCTGGCTTCCCTCCAGACACGATGCAGACCAGTGTGAAGTTCTGGGCTTGGTAGCGGCTGAAGGGGGAGGGCGAGTCCGCGGCCACCACTTCAATGGAGGTGGGAGGAGCTGCCCGAGAAAGCACAGGGGACAGAGGCTTTAGCTGGAAGACTGGGCAGAGCTCACTGGTGGGCAGGTTCCGTGGCAGGTGCCAAGGCGGGGATTCCAGGATGTTGCACAGCTCCAGAGGTGCCACCAGTGTTGGGCACAGTGAGCACGAGGCCCTTTGCTGGGAGTATAGGCCAGAGTTTTTCCTCCTGGGCCTCCCAGCCCAGTGGGGAAGACACATAGGAATAAGGAGGCCACACACACTAACACTTAAGTGCATCAGACACCAGGAGGCAACAGTGTGCAGAAGGGACCTATCTGAGTGGGGGGTTATGGGAAGGCACTATGGGAGAAGCCCCCTTGTGCTGTGATTAGAGGGTGTGGCAGTGGACAGAAGACAGCATGCAGGTAGGAGGAGCAGCATGTGCCAAGGCCCAGGGTCAGGCTGGCAGGGGAGAGTGGTGTTGGGCAGGCCGTGGGGCATGTGGTGCCCAAGGGTCTGGGCAGATGGACAGGGCACTCCAAGAGCATGAGGGCGAGAGCTCTCAGTGTGGGCCGGAGCACTTCCAACCTTGCAGTCGACTATGACCGTCTCAGGAATTTTGTGAACCAGTTGTTAAACTGTTGCCAACTTGAAACGGGTGGCAGTGGGTGTCTTTGTGCCACAAAAATCAACAACCGCTACAAATCGGGCTTTTCTTTTTTTTCCTTTCCTTTGCTCCAAACTCCAGAGAGCTGGTTGACCAGCTCACCACTGGCTATGAGTTTTTCTTCTTTTTCCTGAGAGCAGTGGGGAGCAGCAGCAGAGACATGGTACGATTCGCATTATGAGGGGACTGGAAACACACTGTGAATTCAGGCTGGAAAGGATGGTGACTCAGACTCCACTTGGATGGAAGCAGGTGAGTTTGAGGGCTGTTTGGAGCTGGGAGCTTCTCTTCCTTTTTATTTTGAACATGGCTCATCATGGTTGGCACCCCTCTCACCAGCGCACAGCCTTTCTCTCCTCATCTGCCACCGTGGGCTCCTCTGCCAAAGCCGGGCACCCAGGTACCGTGGGTGAGGTGGGGGGCACACGCTGAGCCATCAGCACCCTGGGCCCTGCATCCCAGGAGGGTCATTACCACTCCTCGTCCTCGGGTACCTTTCGAGATCTGTGAAACTCAGTTCTCCCATTTGGGAGGTGGGAACAGGAGCAGTCAGACAAGTGGCAGGGGGAAACTCGGAGGAACAAATATAAGAGGGCCCTGTACATGGTAGGAACCAGCTATTATGATGATTTTGACTATGGTCTCCCCAGTCTCCTCTTTACCAGGGGCTTAGAACTTTGCTTGGGAAAGCGGGTCAGTTCTCGGTTCCTGGCCCTGGCCTCAAGGCCAAAAGAGAAGAAGAGAAAATGAAGTCATGTGGGCCTTGCCTTCCTGCAGGGGCTTTTCATCCCAGTTAAGTTTAATTAAATTCAGCAAACATTTCCCGACACCTACTAGGTGCTGGGCATGGTGCCAGGTGCTTGCTGCGGCCGCCCAGCATTGAATAGACACATCTTTGAGAAGTTCACAGTCTGGTGGGGGCAACAGACGCAGCGGCCTCTCTCTTTGAGGGGCTAGTGACATGAAGCCAGGTATGAGCCATTCATTCATTCCTTCATTCATCCCTTCATCCCAGCAGCCACCACACTCTGTCTTGAGAGAAGCAAACAGGAAGCCGTAGGAGAACAATAGATAGAGAGTTGTAATTGAGCATAGAAACAGATGGTAAGTGGGGCCAGGATTCTGAGAAGGGAAAAATACACATGAACACTGCCATTACTCAGAAGTTGCAGATTCTACAATCGAAATTTTCTAGAACTCCATTGGAAACTAAGCTCTCAAAGCAAGAGCCAACAGTGGCTAACGACTGAACTAGGAGCTGTGGTAAGCCCTTGACTTGCATTAATTCTTTTTTAGCTACAACCTTGGTCTTGAGGTGAGTTTATAGATTCCCATTTTGCAGGTGGGGAAACTTAGCAGCAGGAGCCACTTGCCTGGGTCCACAGAGCCAGCATGAGGCAGAGCAAGATGGAGCCAGGCAGTCTGGCTCCACAGTCCAGATTCTGACTCAGGACTGTGCCAGCTGGACCTCTGAAGGAAACAGGAGCCGGTCCCTGTCGTCCCTTTCAGCTGAAATGCAGTTTGGCCACGGGGAACACCAAGCTGGTGTATCCCAATGACACAGATGCCCAGGAGCCCCGATCCCTCGGGAACAGCTCCCTGGGTGGCTCTGATTGTTTTGGTGGCCCCAAAGGTCAGGAACCAAGCACACCACTTAGAGCTCAGCATAAAGCTGTGGCATGTGTGCAGGCTTTGGCCCACCCCCCACAAATCCTGGAGGCTCCAACTAAGTAGATGACACCTTGAAAATTACTCATTTTCTCATCTTCGCTGAGCAGAGACCAGGCACCGATACCTACCTGAGAGAATGCCCTCGAGGAGTTAGAGGATGCATATAAGGTGGCTGCAATATAGGTTAGCAGTTTTAAGCAATATCATTGGTGTCTTTTTATTTCTGTGGTGCTGAGGTTAGAATCCAGGGCCTTCCACATGCTGGGCGAGGACTCCACCCTGCACCACACCCCTGGCCCTGTGTCACTGTTAATGAAGGAAGTTTTGAAGACTGCATTTTTTAAAAGGAGCATAAGATATGCCATTCATATTTTAATAGATTACAGGTTCACATAAATATTTTAGAAATATGGGTGTAATAAATATAGTATTAAAATTAATTTCACATTTAAAAGTTTACTTTTGTTAATGTGTTTGCTAGAGAACTCACAGTTACATATGTGGCTTCAGTATGTTTCTATTGGGCGGCTTTGGCATAGACTTCCCATTTTACAGGCAAGCAAACTGAGTCTGGAGAGAGGTATAGATCTGCCCACAGTCACATCATATGTCATGGCACGGCCTCTGCTGGGGTCCAGGCTTCCAGGTCCCGGCCATGGTCCTCTGCCCAGCATGGTGCCTCTATGCCCAGTGCAGATACATCTCCGCTTTGGAGATCTGCACCCGAGTCACGCACGCCACCCACACAGACCCTGATTGGGAGCTGTGTTCCTGTCCCTCGTTATATTTCTGAGCAGGTGTGAGCAATATGTACAGTTAATCAAGCTCGTGAGACAATAACAGATTTCGCTTGTATGGATGGTGACACAGAGGAGCTGCTAATATCAGGGCAGGCGGCTCCACGCTTTCCCCACCATTTTCCCTGGCACCGTGGCCTGGGAAAATGTCACCATGCATCTTGCTTCCTGTCACTCAGCAGAGGGCTCTGACGTAGGCATCGGAAAACTGTCTACACCTGGGAGTCCCTGGCTGCCCGTGGGTGCTCCAGCCCACACAGTGCACTCCGCATCTCCCCTTGCTTCCTCTTTCTCTTCCTTTGACTAAGTACAGCACTCTTCCCCTGCAGTCCACCTCCGCTCACTCAGAGCATCTCCCATCACATCCCCGCCCCCACTGCCTCCACACTTCCACCACAGCTCCGTCCCCTGCTCCATACTCAGGTCTTTCCCATTTCCATCTCTGTGCCACCCTCACCTCCGTCCCCACCTGCACCTCCATCCCCAGTCCCATCTCCACCCACAGTCCCATCTCCACCCACAGTCCCATCTCCACCCACAGTCCCATCTGCATCCCATCGTCTGCCTCTTCACCCCCACCTCTGTCCTTGTGTCTATCCCATCCCCACCTTCTTCTCCCTTGTCCTCTTCCATCCCATCTCCACCTCCATCCCCACCTCTGGTATCCTCATCCCTACTCTCTCTCCATCTCCACTCTCCATCCTCATCTCCCCCCATCTCCCCTTCCACCTCCAGCTCTGTTCCCTGCCCATCCTCATCCCTACCTCTTCTCTGTCCTCATTTCTGTCTTTGTCCCATCCCCAGCTCCAACACCATCCACCCCATTTCCACTCCCTCTCCACTCCTGTCACATGGTTTCCTCCTTACCTCCCCTCCATTTCCGTCCCTGCCTGACTCTGTCCTCATTCCCACTTCCATCCCATCCCTAACCACAACCCAATCCCTGTTCTCTTGGCCATCCTCCGCCCCATTCCAACCTATATGATCAAGCTGGACACAAATAACCCCAATTACAGGGACAGGCTCTGGAAGGAGCAGGGTGACTGTTCAGCTGCATTCAGGGGAGAGCCAGGTGGGACATATGATGGCGAAGGATCTGCAGCAAAGACCCCAGCTCACTCAGCTCTCCCACTCATCTGCACCATGAGCAGACACAGTGCCAAAGTGCCACCATCTGTCCCTCACCCTTGAGGCCTGAGGTGCCTGTGTAGTGCCCTCTACGGTGGGGAGTAAACATGCATCGCAGCCTGGGCACCATCCTTCTGAAACACCCTTGGACACAGCACCAGGGCACACTACTCTAGGAAGGGGCCACAGTAGTCACCATGTCATCGGCATCACAGTGGAGAGACATAGCCCTGGACAGAGCTTCAGAACTCACTGACCACTCTGGACCCTCATCCCACTTGCTCATGGCTGGCCCTGGGCAGTAGAAAGGGCTGCCCCATCTGGTAAGCTTGTCACCATGGTCCAGCCAGAGCCACCACCATGACACTCCCCTCAAGCCAAGCCAGGGGACATTCCAGCTTAGTTCTCACTCTGCCTCCAGTGGAAAGAATCACCGGTAGAAGTTTCTGCCCAGCATCAGGCAAGGGAAAGTGGCTTGGCATCTAACACAGCCAGCTGCACATCCCAGGTCACCTCCATCACCCCGCTCACCACCACTCTGGGATACAGGATTGAAGATATTTAGACTCGGCTGTTAACACTGACACAGTACGGTAATGCTTGGGCGACTGGTGGTAGAAAATTAACCCTGAAATATTGCCTGTCTTCATCTTGCAAGCAGAAGTTTGTTTTGGTCCTCGTAACTACATGGCAATCATGTGGCTGCTCTTCTTTGTGCAGTGGATCAGCCTGTGGCCCTTGCAATTTGGGAACACAAACCCCATCTGGTAGAGAC